GATGCCTGGATCACCGTGTCCTGCACAGTCTTTTCTGTAGCCTGTTCACATTTCTAAACTCTGATTATTACAGCTCTACAAACTCTTATATTCCCACCTACTGCTGTTTAAAGTGCATGGTTATGGTTTGAATGAATGTAAATAAATTGGTTTAGATGTTAAAAAGACTCTAATCTGCTACCTGGAGTACATATTGACTCATTGATCAGATTGATGAGGCAACATTGCCTCACTATTGCCCAACAATACGCTGCCATCTCACTGTTTAGAGGAGGTAGGAAGAGTCGGAGGTGGTTTGAATCCCAGGTTTTCCTTCTTTTTGGGGAGCCTGAGACTTACTTTTGCATTCTGAACTGCACTTTTGTGAGTCCCGCTGAATTTGAGATGTTTGATCACAACAGCAACTGGAACTGAGTCGCCTTCCCCTGATATTGACATTAAAAAAACTAAATCCAAAAAGGTTCCCAGTGTGTAAAAGTCTGATATCAGGACTTCCCATATGGCACTGGAAGTGTTTCTGTGACTAATAACCCGCCATAAAACTTTTACTTGTCCTTTTTGTGTGTGTGAGAGCCAGTCCAGGTTTAACAAAGAGATAAGATGTTATGTCCGGTCATATTAAAAGCATCTGTTTATTATATCATGTCATTCAGTTGTGTGAGGACCAGAAAAGAAAATACATATGAGGAAACTGAGGGAGGAGAGACGAGTGTTGCTGGCATCATGGGAAGAGGACTTTGTTAAGTTTTCGTGTAAAAAAAAAAAAAACTATCCCGTAAATTTAAGTATCAGATTATAATGATATTCTCACAGCGTGTCATTAGCTGTCCATGATCCATTCATCTCGCCGCCTTTGGTTTCGGCCTCCTCACCGAGCAGCTGTGAGATCCAGCGGACGCCTCCGTGAGATTGGCACTAAGAGACAGTGATTTTGAAATGAAATAACAAAGGCTACTTATCTAATTGGTAAACAGAGCTGTTAAATGGCGGTGGGTCTCTAAACGCTTGCAGGATGCTGTAATTGCTGCCAGCCCTCACAGACAGATGCAGGCATGCACGTTCACATCAAGGCACGCACAGCCTTTCGACTTCCTCCGCTCGAACATAAACACGCTGATAACCTCTGGTTTGAACCCCTCTTTAAAAATTCCATTGAAGAAGTTGGTTTCCCTCCCTCCCTCCCTCCTCCTCCCTCTTCCTCCCTCGGCGGCCGTTCTCAAACGAGCTTGTTATACCTTGGGGTTGGATGATAGCCAGGCTGAACACGATGACACTAAGGGCTGTGTCAGAGACATTAAACATGTCTCGTTGTTCCCCTCAGACTGTCAAACACTGATTAAAACAATGATTTAGTGTTTTGAACTTCACAGCGTGTCAGTGGATCCTCGGGGGGGGTAAAAATCAGCTCGAAGACTCCAGCGTGAGACGTATCCATCATTGCTTTTCTCATTCCTCTTCACATTAAGATACAGATTGAATAAATAGACAAAGAGAGTCTTTCTTTTACACTAAAGTTAAGATACATTTAAAACCTTTAACGCAAAGTGTAGACTGAGTTAGGAACAGCTATAAAGAATTTGAAATGAGATGGTAATGGATGCTGACTATTTCATGAGTTAAGCCTGACCAGATCTGAAGTTTTCTGAGTTTCCTGCTTTTAAAAAAAAAATCTTCTGTAGATACAGTTTTATTTGCAACGCGCGGTTTTCCTATGAAATGGGCTTAAGAGCTACCAATTTAGCAGCGTATCATTTGTTGCATCATTCATTACACACCATGACAGAAATTAAAGTGTTCTACGCGTCTTTAAAAAAAAAAAAAAAACCTTAAAAAAAAAACCTTAAAAAGTCCCAGTTTGTTTTATGTTTTCTTTGGGAATTAATTTGATCATGAGCTCATAAAGTCTCCCCGTGTTTCCCCAGACATGTTTGTGTTGCCTTATTACAGGGAAGAGCACGGCTTGTAAAAGTGTGTGAGTTTACGTGCATGTGTGTGTGTGTGTGTGAGGGGGAGAGAGAGATAGAGAGAGAGAGAGAGAGAGAGAGAGAGAGATCCTGCTAGTTGAGCAGCCTGCTCTCTTATTGGAGAGCTGTAAAAACTCCAGACCGCAGGAGTTGCCAGCCTGGAATTCACTAATGACACACGTGGGCCTCAGATGAGAAGTGCAATTTTGTGTGCATGTGTGTGTTTGTATGTGTGTGTGTGTGTGTGTGTGTGTGTGTGTGTGCGTATTTGTGTGTGTTACGGCCACACTGTTTGGATCAGAAGGCTCAATTTGGGTGAGTGCGCGCGCATGTGTGAGGCCCCATCTCATCAGTTATTGTGTGTGTGTGTGCGTCTGTTTGTGCACAAACACTTGAACCAACAACCCCTTCCCGTACACTCGGTCCCCCCGAAATGAAAATGGCGCCTGTGCAAACACAGCACACCTTGCCTGGTTTCGCCCAAAAAGCGGCTGGTTGCCCCTGGTGGATGGTGGAGGGAGAGGGGGGGTCTGCTGGGATGTGAAAGGAATGGGGCCACAGGCACATGGGTCTTTAAATCCTCTGTGTCAATAGAGTCTCTGGAGCAAAATAATGGCATCACTCTGTGTGGGAGTTAATGTGAGCTGATAGCATGAGGGCCGGGAGGTCAGGGGTTCATGGGCTTGTGCTAGGTTGACAGAGAGCTGAATGCTTTCAACCCCCCCCCCCAAACTCCCCTCTCTTTTTTTGCTCTAAACCTCCTCCTTAACTCCGGACCTGGAGGAGAGTTGCGGAGGGTGACGCTGAGCAATGTCAGGAGAGGAAGTGGGGTGATCGGTGTTGACAGTTTTAGTGTCCGTTCCCAAATATGACAGATGGGTGACAAATTAAAGGGAAAAGCTCGACTAAATGCAAAACAAAGCTACAACAAGTGGTTCCATTCACAACATAAAGGGCTTAGCCAAGGGTGAAAATTATGTCTATCATACACTGTTGAGTAAGTACCAATCAGGTACAACACCACCCCCCCTTCTCCTCAAGACTGTCTTTTAATCTTTTAAGGTGGTCTTTAGGAATAGCTATCCATGCCTCTTGATGGTCCTTCATTGTTTTTCTTTAAATAATAGCTGCTTCTCTCTGTGTAGCTGATCATTTTTACAGCTTTCTTTTGTTTGATGAGCCTGAAAACCTGTTCGGCCGAGTCGAGCGACAGGCAAATTCGACACGGTAACGACACGGATGGCCGTCCGTGTCTGAATATAAACGGACAGGAGGAAATTAACAGGGAAATAAAAGCTGTGATGCCTTGCTGCTTCTACTGTAACTCTCTTCGGATGATCAGTGTTCATGTAGGTGGAGCCAAAATCACTACATAGGTGTTCAGTTTAAGGGCCCTAAGTGATATTTTCTTTTTTTATAAGATGATGTTGTGCTTGTAGGAACTTAGGTGTGTTTTTTTTAAACAGAATGGAGCATCTTTGAACTTCTGATCTGCTCGTACCTCTGCAAAAAATTTGAGTTATGGCTCAAATGACAGAATATCCTCTCACTTAGCCACCTTTACTTCTCAATAAGACGCGGAGTTGAGGGAAGAAAGTGGAGAGGAACTAACAATCAAAAATACCAACGCTGTGTCCCCTGACTGGAAGCAAAAATCTTCCCTATGCTTCTTTTTTTTGTCTTACTTTTTAACAAATAGCCTTCCAGTGTTCCTCGCTGTGTGACGTGTGTAGCAGAGACGGGCTGTGAGTCCCGGCCGGTGAAAGCCAAGACGTACTTTGTTTGTTCAGACACCGGTCATGTGAGATGACCCACCCAGAGGCCTCGTGTTGGTTTGCTGTCTGTAAGACAGAAAAACACTGGCCGCTGCTTTTCTTGCCTCTGTAATATTCTTAAAAAGAGAGAAATCATTGAATAATTGAAGACTGTAGGAAGGACATTTCACTGACCAGTTTTCGAATGTAAATTTCAGTATTTGTGTTGTCGTCTTGTTATTTTTTGTTTTTCTGATTTACACAACAACCAGCTGAAGCTTGTTTTTCTCACCAGATTATCCGCTTTAATTTCCACGTAATGCAACTAAGATTTATTATCATGACTATTTGATAAATAGCTCATTTGATTCATTAAGTAAGAAGCTGAATCATTTTTAGCAACTAAATGAGTCCGCCTCATCATAAGAAAAAATCCAGGCTCTAGTCTAAATGCTTCATCACTGGCCTCACTTTGCATTCTCAGACATTTCATACATCCATTTCTATTACAATTATGTGGTAGATCCTTAATGGTGTTATTTGATTTGTTGACGCACTGCAGCATGTGTCTGCATTTAGCATTATTACCAAATAAAGCAGCCACTATTGTGCGTTTTAAGAAGCAGAGAGATTTTAAAGATAATCATTTTGCTTGACATTAAGGGTCTGAAAGAGAGTAACAAAAGAATGGAGATGCTAAACATTTTCTAAATAAAGAGTGATGAGGTCCGTGGGTGAAACAGTTGCTGTGAACTTTGCACGTGAAGCTGTGGGACGTTTGTGTTTGTTCCCCCTGTGGAATGACCGACATGTGAAATGAAAGCATTCTACCACTTTTTTGCTCTTTTGAGCTGAAACATTTTTATTGTTGTCAGGAATGCTTGTGTTCAGATACAGAGTAAGAAGCCTGGAAAACTATGGGTGGTCTCATAGTGTCCGGTCCCCACTCCCCCTCACTTGAAGGTCTAGAGATGATACCCAAAAGGAACGGGACACCCAGGCATAAACGGAAACAAGAAGGAATGAAAGGGTGGGGTTAGAGTGGCTGGACGGAGGGAAGGGATGGGATTTAGGGATCCTGCTTGTTTTGAGTAGACACAAAGGCCGTCCATTCAGAGGGTTTATTCTTAAATCAGGAGTTATTTATTATAACAAATGCAAATGAACACGAACAGATCTGGGAAGCTGCAGGAGCCTGGACATCTCTCCCCAGTTTTCTGACGACTGGACGACCCGATGATCGCTGATTCATCCGTTTGTTTCTCTCTCTCTCTGTTTTCAGACACTGGTACCTCCCTGGGCTCCTCGGGGTCCGGCGGCCATCGCTCCCCCTGGTGCAGCGTGGCGTACTGGGAGCAGCGCACCCGCGTGGGCCGCCTGTACCCGGCCCACGAGCCCGCGCTCAGCATCTTCTACGACCTACCTCAGGGCACCGGCCTCTGCCTGGGCCAGCTGCACGCCAACGCCTACCACCGCCGGCGGGAGGACCCGGGCGGGTCCAGGGTGGGCGGTGGGGGGGGGGGGGGGTGGGGGGGGCGTGCAGCAGATCCGCAGCAAAATCGGGTTCGGCATCGTGCTGAGCCGGGAGCCGGACGGCGTCTGGGTCTACAACCGGAGCCAGCACCCGGTGTTCGTGCACTCGCCCACGCTGGACCCGCCCGGCGCCCGCGGGCTCAGCGTGGAGCGCGTCATGCCCGGGTTCTCCCTCAAGGTGTTCGACTACGAGCGCTCCAGCTGGATGGCGGCGCGCGGCCTGAAGCCCGAGGCCCAGGAGGGGCCCTGGGACCCCCACAGCGTGCGCATCAGCTTCGCTAAGGGCTGGGGCCCCTGCTACTCCAGGCAGTTCATCACCTCCTGCCCCTGCTGGCTGGAGGTGCTGCTCAACACCCACAGATAGCACAGACTCTCCAACCCAGCACCCCAATTGTAATCTACCTAGATTTAATATAAGATTTATATATTATATAAAGTATATTATACATGTAAATACTTGAGTCATTTTTACGATGCAATTATTTATGTATAGTGTAATGTGTACATGGACAAAATAAAGAGGAGCAAGAGTATGCACTTTGATTCTATATCTGCATTACAGAATTTCGTTTTGTCTTTTTACGAAACATAAACTGTAAAACTGAGACGAACTTGGCTCGTGTTCTCATAATTTAGCAGATCCATCAAAACGTACGTATGCCACACACACACATTGTCAATAAAGTATTTGTATTTAATTGAGATTTATGTGGTGGTCTAAAGTGCTGTTGGCTGAGCTGTTGCTTCTTTACTGCTATTGGATTAGAGCAAAGCATCCCTTTTTTTTGGTAGGAAGATGGTTTTCTTGTCACATTTTGAAAAAATAATATGATTGTTTATTAGACTGAGTCAGATCCAGTTGTGATTAATTTCAATTTCATATGGATCCGACCATTAACTGACTACTTGTGCCTTATGGACAAGATTCTTGTGATCCTGGAAGAAAATTAATATCAGCGTTTAGAGGTTTTTCTAAAAAATAGCTCAGTGCTGACTTTCAAAGACTCTTCCCATTCGTAATGGCAACAACTTTATGCAAATCAGGGCCCAAAATGCCCTCCACCGTGGAGCAGAGCTGCTGGATTCCCTCCCTGAGGAGGTCAAGGGTTCAGGTTTTTACTTGCATTTGTGACTCTTCTGTTTATGTAGCAGATTTAAATGTTCATTCAACGATCTCAAGGAGCATCCCCTGTCTTTATCCTCAAGGGATACTGATTTTGGGACATTACATTTTTCCCAAATGTCTCAACAAAGTCGTTTTAACCCGTTCTGTGCTGTAAATGTCATAAGCAGCTCACAAGCTAGATAAGTTGTACCAAATCCCCACTGCATTGCTAAATGAACAAATTCAAACACCATTCAGCTGATAACATGAGTTTAAGGTGGCGTTAGAAAGGGGCCAGATCCCTGAGGTTAATACCTTGCATACTTACGAGGTTCTACGACCCTTCCAAGCCATGTCCTTCTTAAACTGAGACAGCCTTTGCTTGTGTTAGAGAGCACACTCCATGAGGCAGGCCTAAGTTAAGGCAGATGACATGGCAGCTGTGCGGAGTGAGTTTAAGAGTGCTGCTCAACAGCACGCAGCATTTGGCTGCTACCTAACAGAGATTTGTGTTGGAAATTAATTCCTGGCTGACGCTTTATCGTTAACACAAAACGTAAAATCAAGTTGAATTTCGTGCAAATGCAGAATACACCAGTATTGATCAATATTTTGGACGTGCACAAAGGATTGTGGGTATTTTGGAGTCCGGAGTCTCAAATAGATTGACTGGGATTGGAGCTGATGACAGGTAAAAGATATTTATGCCTCTGAATAAGAACAGTGGGACTGCGAAATCTGGTCTATTTATCAGGTGTAAAAACAATGTCAAAATCCCACAACATGGGAAAGCACCAAGATCTATACTGGGTTTGATTTATTTCAGCTTATTTCAGTACCTTTTCATTTTGGGTCGCCTCTCAGGAAAAAGCATAACAACGACAATTTTGTGGCTGATTGTGTTTTTTTCCCACAAGTTTGCTATTCCTCTAAAAACGATGGAAAGTAAAGCGGTTTAAAAATGTCAGTCTCCCCCATAACAAACACGATTCAAACCTATTTCTGCTGCCGTCGTCAGCATATAGAGTCACACACACACACACAACGATCGCACACCGGGCTTTGTTTAGGTAAGAGCACATTATCTGGTGTAACTCAGCTCTAACCGCTGCACGGCTCACTGTCACTCCACACACATGCAGAGTAAATGAAGGAATGTAAACTCATTTAACTCGTGGAGCGAAAAGCGCAGCCTCCACACGAAAAGCCTCGCAGAACTACTAACAAACGGCGAGAGAGAGGCCTCAGATTGTGTCGGAAAAGCGGCTCCTTTTGCAGGGGAGGTCCTGGGAGGCCGTTAAAAGCTCTGAAAAGTGAGAAACTGGCCCTCTGAACTCAGATGAATTTGATTACGTCGTTTCTGCACTTCAATAATGAGCTTTTTGTGTTTTTCTTACTCGGCCCGCCTTCGCCCAGAAAAAAAACGTCTCAATGCCAACGCTACGCACCGATATAAAAATGTGCTAAAAACCGTGTCATCAAGTTTTAACTATCTCCCTGGCACCGATAGGCCCGGCGGCAGAAGGCGGTGGAAGGCGTCCCGTTGCCAGTGGTAAGAAAATAAAGCGCATAACTGAGAGATTACACAAAAACCCACAGCAGGGCGCTGGGCTCCAAACCGACTTCAGTAGTGCAGAGCTCTGTGTTTATAGCACGATGGCATCCTGACAACACGGTCGTTTATGGAAACTCAGATTCGAGCAGGATGAAAAGGTAATGTAAGCAAAAGAAGGGGGCTTGAAAAACTACAACCCCCGTGAGGTGAGAGTGAGACGTCCTCAGCCAGTCTGGCTTCTCTGTTTTTGACCCTGAACCTCTGCAGGCTGTTTGCTGAAACCTGTTATTAACTGCAGCCTGAAAAGTAAAGAGATGTTGATTACAAAGTGGCAGCACTCCTGAGGACAGAAAAAAAAAAAAAAAAAAAGGAACATTACAGTGTTCAAAGGTCCCTCCAGAAGGGGCGGCGTGTTTGGAGAGGTGCTTTCAAAAAGAGTTTTTACGCACTCAAAAAAGCAGTGACATTTCTCATCCCGATAACTTTAAACTCTCATTTGCACAACTTGATCTTTTTCTAAAGTTCTGGGCATTCCCACACACCCCACACCGAAAAAAAAAAAAAAAGGAAAAAAAAGGGAGAAAGAGAAAATTCCAGTGTATATTTCAGTCAAGACTCCTCTCGGCTTTTCCAGGCAAAGTGTGGGATTTGTGGTTTGGATACAATGGAGGGACTCAGAGGAGGGGCTGGGGTGGGAGAGTTCTGCTGGCGAAAAGCTTACCATGTTTCCCCTTCCATCTCCCTCTCCCTTTTTCTCCCCATCTTGAGAACACCCGGCCCAGTCTCCTCTCTTGATTGTTTTGCTTTTGCGAGGAGTCATGAAGACGGTGAATCGGACCCCGGGCGGAGTGGCGGAGGAGGCGTTTTGGCCGCGGCCCGCGGGGCTGTGGTGGCTGCTGACCTCACCGTGAACTGAAGGAAAACTGGCTGGCTCTGCCACAGGCCCTCCAGCTCCACCCCTCCACCGTATAATTATCCCCGCGCAGATTATGATGTTATAATTATCTTAATGAGTACATGAGGCTTAGCAAATTAATAGAGGACATTTACTGTTTTTTTTGCTACATGCAACATGAATGATGGCCGTTTGGAAACATACAGCACGCAACACACGAGGTGTCCTTAAATGAGGATAATGCTCAAATTAGCTTATATGCATCTCTATAATGTGCTTTTGGGTCCTGAGGACTGAGGTTTGCATGAGGAACTGCAATCTAAAGAGGCCATCAGACTCTGAGAAGCCAGTTTGCCTGAGTTATCCTAAATGTCCCGATCGGAGTTTGGAAATTCCTTCAAACTAACAGTTTTTCCTCTCCGATCATCACTTTTGTGGCTCACTGGGGGAACAGTTGCACGTTTAATATGTCGGTCTGCATTGTTACACGATGCACCAGCAGCTCAAAGAGTGATTAGTGCTGCTAAATGTCATTTATTGGACAAAGTTAGGATAAAGTAAAGTACAGTGTATTGAGAGTTCTTGGTGTTTAACCTCACACAGACTGAAACTTGAGGACATGTGTATATAAGGTTTTAACTGGCTTGTATGAATTCAAATGACACTATGGTGATGGTCAAATAAACAACATGACACAATGTAAAATGATTTTTTCTTTGGGTTGTTTATTTAGGGCAAAAAAAGCATTTATTCACAAAGTAGTGAAACAACAAATATATCCCTTTTAGTATTTCATACCTAAACCTCAGCTAACTGAGAAAGTTTTCCATCTGCTGAATCTTTTTAAGATACAGTCCAATGGGTCTACAAATGTTTGAGAGGGACGTTATGGAGTTGAATCCCGACAGGATTTTGTGGCGTGATATTACACTAATTAAACCCTCCCACCTTATGACCCTTTAACAGAAATGCAGATGGCACAAATACCAAATACCTGGGTGGCTGATGCCATTCCACCCAGGAAACACGTCCCCTCTCGGCTCCTCTGGTTTCTTGTAAATAACCGTTCATCACCCTGATAGGTACGAATGTTTGTTGCTGTATTCTCAAACTTGGTTTTTTCATCTTTCCTGCCTCATTAATCATCTCACAAACCCAAATTCTTCCATGGTCTGTGCAAAAAACAGTGAAACCTTCCAGTGGAATGCACGATAAGACTCACTGATACAGGCTGAATCATGCCAATTTTCATGATTTTCTTACTTTTTCTTCTTTCTCTATTTTTCTTCTTTTAGAAATATTCTGTACATTTGTATTAATTAAGTGAAGTGCTGATGCATCTGCTTTGATGGGGCCCGTCAGTATCCTTCCTCAGATCAGATTTGAGTCATCCCAGAGTACAGAAATCTGACACAGTTTGAATGACAACAGGAGGGAAACTCTGCCCACTCTCCTCTCCCATCATCATCATCTTGACAGTGTTTTGTCACCCGGCGGCTCAGAGTGGACGTGGATCAATACCCCTCCTGCTGCAGAGCCCTCTGTGTGTGAAACCGCAGACAGCTCGGATGCCTCCTCTCTGTTCTGTGGCTGATCGCACGTCAGCCTTTATTATTGTCGTCCTCACAGCCAGACGAGGGGGGGGGCGGGTCCTCAGCTAATTGTTAACCACCAAATGAAAATCTGTTTGTTAGGGATGCAGATGTTTGCTGTGTTTATTCAGAAAAAAACAACCTAAAACCAGAACTCCAGAATGGTGTTGGTCCAACTTTTTCTAATTCTGTTATTCTAATAGCATAAAACATATAA